AAAAGAACCACCAGGGCTACTGATGCATTCCCTATGACAACAGTCCCCAACATTTTTGGTACCAGGGACTGGTTTCATGGAAGGCAATTTTTCCATAGAAGGGGTGGGGCAGTGGGGGAGGGGTAAAGGGCAGGGGAGGAAGATTTCTTGAGGAAACTGTTCCACCGCAGATCATCAGGCATTAGTGAGATTATCTAAGTAGTATGCAACCTAGATCCTATGCATGTGCAGTTCACAACAGGGTTTGCGCTTTTGTGAGGATCTAATGCTGCTGCTGATCTGACAGGAGGTGGACCTCAGGTAATGCTCACTCGCCACCCACTGCTCACCTCCTCCAGTGTGGCCCGGTTCCTAGCAGGCCATGGACTGACTGATACTGGTCCATGGTCTGAGGGCTGGGAACACCTGCCCAATGACACTTCATGCAGACTGTCAAAAACTGGTTTGTTTGGGAGGAAAAAACGCGCAACAAAATATATGTGACATCAAAGAGAGGAGCTATTTGCTTTCTTTCTCTTCCCTACTCCTAAAATATCAAATCTACTCAAGAGTTTCAAAAGACCTACAAACTTCTGCTTGGAGTTTTCAAAAAACGTGCAAACTCCTGCTTGTTAGAAATGCATCTGGAGGGCGTGGTGGCTCACACCTGTAATCCTAGCACTTTGGCATGCCGAGGCATGTGGATCACCTGAGACAAGGAGCTCGAGACCTGTCTGATCAACGTGGCGAAACTCTGTCTCTACTAAAAATACAAAAAATGAGCCAGGTGTGGTGGTGGGCACCTGTAATCCCAGCTACTATGGAGGCTAAGGCAGGAGAATCGCTTGAACCCGGGAGGCAGAAGTTGCAGTGAGCCGAGATCGCGCCATTGCGTTCTAGCCTGGGCAACAAGAGCAAAACTCTGTATCAAAAAAAAAAAAAAAAAAAACAGAAAGAAAAAAGAAGTGCATTTGGAACTACAAGTTTAAACCTGCTTAAGCCAATCACAACTTAAAAATACTCTTAATTTAGTCTGTTTTGTAACTAGAGGAATATATATACATAAAATAAAAATTACAATATAAAATATATATATTTAACACTATACAAAATACAAACACCTACAAATAGACAAGCAGTAAACACATCAAATCATAAACAATAGTTGTGTTAAGAAAGCTCCAGGGGTTATCATTCTTATAGTCGACACACTTTAATAATGAAAAAATACATTTTTTAAGGCCAAGAGTTTTCATTTTACATCTGCTTAAATTTCCACAGGAATTAGATATTTGCTTTATTTCTCTTTCTTTCTCCAAATTCATCCCAACTTCTGAAGAGCTGCAAATCATTATGTATTTCTCTTGTTAAGCACATATCAAGAAGTAGGTAATATAGTTAATAACTGCACTCTCATGAAAGTTCAGGAGAGAAAGTTTACAAACCTAGTCTTCAGTAGCACAAGTAGGTAAGCAATAGTTTTTTTGTTTGCTTGTTTGTTTTGAGACAGAGTCTCGTTCTTGTCGCACAGGCTGGAATACTATGGCACGATCTGAGCTCACTGCGAGCTCCACCTCCTGGGGTCAAGCAATTCTCCTGCCTCAGCCTCCCAAGTAGCTGGGATTACAAGTACCCACCACCCAGCTAATTTTTGTGTTTTCAGTAGAGATCGGGTTTCATCATGTTGACCAGGCTGGTCTTGAACTCCTGAACTCTGGTGATCCACCCGCCTTGGCCTCCCAAAGTGCTGGGATTACAGACATGAGCCACCACGACCAGCCGGTAAGCAATAGTTTTGTCATATTATCTGGATTTGTGAAGGCAGCGTTTACCAAGAGTCAATTTTCCTCACCCAGGGGACTCTGCGTTTTACAATCAAACAACAGGGGTTTTATGTTTTGTTTATTCTCAAATAGCAGTATAGCTCCAAATAGTCATATATCTATTAGGTACTTAATGTTCTTACTATTTGGTGTTTATAAAGACGATAGTTTAAAATACTTAAACGGTCTTGGAAAAATCTAACTAACCAAAACAGTCTAATGTATTATTTACTTTCCATTAAGCTTCACCTATTATATACACTTCTATATATTGTGTACACTTGCATCACATAAAAGGAAAATACATTTGTATTTGTTAGCAATTTTATCTTTACTTTCACTTCTAAGTCTTCTCCTTACCAGTTCCCACATCAACTTGTTTCTTTACCAGATAATGTACTATTGTTTCTATCATTCCTAAAGCTGTAAAAATAATTTGAACTGGCCAGGCATGGTGGCTCACACCTGTAATCCCACCACTTTAGGAGGCTGGGGTGGGTAGATCACCGAGGTCAGGAGTTCGAGACCAGCCTGACAAACATGGTGAAACCCTGTCTCTACTGAAAATGCAAAAATTAGCCAGGCGTGGTGGCGCTCGCCTGTAATCCCAGCTACTCGAGAGGCTGAGGCAGGAGAATCGCCTGAACCCAGAGGCGGAGGTTGCAGTGAGCTGAGATCACACCATTGTACTTCAGCCTGGGTAACAACAGTGAAACTCCATATCGAAAAAATAAAATAAAATGAAATAAATTGAATAGTGTGCAGTGCCTGCCACCTGATGGTAAGAAGTACCACATTCCAAAGAGTATGTTCCTTTTCCCTCAAGGAGGGTTGGGGGAAGTGAGGAACTTTAGAATTCTCAATAACCATTTGAGCAAAACAACCATCTGGAAATGTAACAGGGATTACAGGGTTCAGGAGGATAGGGCAAAGAATGCTGAGCTCCTGAGGGAAAGAAATGAATAGGAGCCCAGAGAGTAATGCAATGCAACGAAGATGAAATTCAAAACATAAAAATGAAAACCTCACCTTGAGGCAAAATATGACACCTAAGAACTTCCTTACAGCACTGCTTCTACTTCTATAAATATTGCACCACTCTACCAAAAGAAAATTTGAGGTAAAGACATGAATTTGTTTTTGAGTTCTAGTCAAGGTAAATATGAAGCAATTTTTTAAAATATAATAATAAAGGCAATGTCTAGTATAAAGGAGACTGAGAAACCATAGAGCAAGAACAGACAAGAGTGACAGGAAGAGAGGAATAAAATCACCTACTGATTCACTGCATAATTCCACATTTCAGATAAGAACAAATATTCAGATTGGGTGTAGTGGCTCATGTCTGTAATCCCACCACTTTGGGAGGCAGAGGCAGGAGAATTACTTGAGCCTAGGAGTTCAAGACCAGCCTGGCAGTCTGGGCAACATGGCAAGACCCCATCACTACAAAAAATAAAAAATAAATAAAAATAAATACCTTAGTCAGGTGTGGTGGCATGCACCTATGGTCCCAGCTACTCAAGAAGCTGAGGTGGCAGGAGGCAGAGGTTGCAGTGAGCCAAGATCATGCCATTGCACTCCAGCCTGGGAAACAGAGCGAGACTTCTCAAAAAGAAGCTGAGGTAGGAGGATGACTTGAGCCCAGGAGGTTGAGGCTGCAATGAGCCATGTTCACACCACTGCACACCAGTCTGGGCAAACAGAGTGAGACCATGTCTCAAAAAAAGAATCATGATCTATACAGCCCAAGTCTACAAAGAGAAGAATAAGAGGCAGAAAATATATCACTGGGGAATCATGGATAGGAAATACAAGCAAATTGTTAAACTGCCCAGAGTCAAAAGCAAATTAGAGAAAGACAATATGCCAAAGACAAGAAAAAAATTAATTTCTGTGAAGACCAGGGAAGAGTTCTACGATAATCAAAATAGGAAACTGAGCATATTAGAAAACTTAAAGAAATGAACAGTTTATTATTTTGAGAAACCAAAATCTTAAAAGAAAGGCTGCTTGCCAAAAAAAAAAATCTGTATCTGACCAAGCTTCTAGATCTTCTATCAATGTAACTAGAGAAGTATATGGGAGGTAAGATGAAATGAAACTGATCATTGTTAAAGCTGGATGATGGCTAGATGGGGGTTCATCATACAATTCTGTCTACTTTTATGTATGCTTTTTAAAATGGCCGCGAATGGGCACATATCACTAAAGTTGCTGTTCGTGGTAGACATCAGCTCCTCTGGAAATCTTTACCTGCTGTAGACAGGAAAGCGCTCCTTCCTCCATGCTACTGTTCTGCATAGTACACACTCCTATTACTGTACTTACTTGCTTGTTTACTTCTGTCTCATCTCCAAATCATGAACTGTTTAAAGGAAAGAATGATGTCTTACTCATCTATAAATGCCATTACCTAGCACAGTGTGAAGGATGTTCAGTAAATGGATGATCAACTAAACAAAGCAGTAACAGAAATTATGATTTCTCAGAAGAAGACAGAAAAGGTGAGAGAAAGAGGTTCAAAAACAACAATATGGAATACAAATTTTATCAGAGTAAAGACAGAAATATCTACAAAAAACACTGCTAGAGTAAATAGTGTGCTGAATGGCTGAAAAAAAAATGAATGAATGAATGTATGAACAGTCTATTCAGTATATTCCTATACTGAAATGGAGCATATCAAGCCAACAAAATTTAATAATACTTTTCACTGGGAATATCTAACATCCTTTTTTCTAATCCTGTGCTCTCTAATCCCCTTTCTGGTATTCACTTGATTTATCATTAGGCTTTTCTATATTTATTCATTCAATAAATACATACCGAACACCTACAAATGCCAGATACTATTCTAGGCACTTGAGATACATCGATTAACCAAAAAGACAAAAAAAACCCAAGCCTTGTGAAGCATATCTTATAGTGGGGAGAGAAATAAATGGGAAACAAATAATAAATGGGTGAAGTACAAAGTATGTAACAAGACAATACACAGGGGAGGCAGACCTGTGAGAGGAAGACCAGTCTAAAACACTTGAGTATTTTTGTCTTACTGGGAGTTTTTAGTAAAATGGCACTGATAAACTGCAGTAAGTCTCTTGCCTGTTTGGTATATACAAGAGTCCCCCATGACTAATCTCCCACTAATAGGAAAAGTTATACATTATCCTAAACAATATTGACAACCCCTACCTGATCAGTGCCCAGCTGTGAGGTACCAACTACTGCCACCATCACCCTCTGACGTCTCCTTAGCTGAAAAACAAAAATACATGTCTGTACAAAACCCACTAAGGAACAGCATAAATTACGCTTATTGCTTTTAAAGGTCCTTCTCTGGCTGGGCGGTGGCTCACACCTGTAATCCCGGCACTTTTGGAGGCCGAGGCAGGCGGATCACCTGAGGTCAGGAGTTTGAGACCAGTCTGGCCAACATGGTGAAACCCCATTTCTACTAAAAACACAAAAATTAGCTGGGCTTGGTGGCGGGCACCTGTAATCCCAGCTACTAGGGAGGCTGAGG